TTATTTCGATTTGTTGAGTCTTCTTCATGACTGCACTTTTCGGAATCGAGTTTGATTTGATTCATTTTTAGCATGCATAAAACTTTGGTTAAATTTGTCCTTAATCTAAATGTTCTTTGATAAGTAGCATATGTGAGTGGAATGAAATCATTTTGTGTTTTTGATTAAAGTTGATTCAAAAGTAAAATTTCAAAATTCTTTTGAAAATTAAAATTTGAGATTTTACAAAATTAATTCGAATCATTCAATTTTACATTGAATTTTTTATCCTGATTAAATTGGACAAAAGTGAAACTAGGTCATTTGATTCTAATCAAATTTTACACTTGATTCTGATCATTTTCCCGGGGACAGGTTATGTTTGATTTGATTCGAATCACTATTTATACATTATTTGTATCAATTTCATTTTTCAAAATTCCTTTTTAGTTCTGTGTCATTTGATCCGAATCAAATTTTAAACACGATTCGAATCACGTGGCATTTGATTCAAGTCACACCTTCTCTAATCCGAATCAACTGTCATTTAAAAAAAACTATTATTTCTTCCATTTCACTTCATTTTCTTATTTGATTCAAATCATATTTTTATTTTTATTCAAATCTAACTAAAATTTTCAACCATTTGTGTGCTTAATTTCAAGCACATATAAAAACTTTTTGTCATCATTTCTCTCATAACATCTATCATTCTGAACATATTTTTCAGTGTGATTTTTAGTGAAAATCAATCTCCTCTGTTTTGAGTGTTTAATATCTTGCTATGAAATTCTTACATCTTTAACTTCAATTGAGTTCAGATCTTGATAACAAGAGTCCTAAGATTGATTGAAGGAGGCACGTACTTGAAACTAACCGTTCTTGGAGATTTTGTTGAGTTTTTCAGGTTTGGTTAGCAAGATTGATGGATTGTCAATGATAGTGACAAATTCTATTAAAAAGAAGTAGGTTTTTCTCTCCAACATTGCTTTAACAGTAACTGTGTGGAAGGCTACAGATAAGGCAGAGCTCTTCTTAGATTTTCGTACAATTTCACTGCTTAAGGAATCAGTAGGATCAATGGGTTGATTGCTACATATGAAACCTTATAGCAAAATTGGTGTTATTGGAAGATTCAAGAAACATATTCGAGTAAAGATTACCAAGAAGAGTTTGGCAAGTTACCTATATACAAGTCAAGATCCAAATTAGGAGATTTATTTTCTCATATATATTGTAGCTTGGTGATTGTATGAACTCTTGGAAATATTTTTCAAATAACAAGAAACTATGCAGGTTCCAATGGGAAACCATTGAAAAGTGCACATAGGCAAAACGAGGACGAATGTCGAAGCAATATCAATCTTGATGTCATCTCTCTAACTCATACTCTTGCATTTTAAATTTGTAGTGATTGCATGCTTAGGTTTTTCAATTCCTTCGTATTATATTGTTTGTTCTTTGTAGCAACTTATTACGTAAAGTTGTAGGTTTTGTTGGAACTAGATAACTAGTCAAGCTAGTCTTGTGATTGATAAATATGAAAATGAATTAAATTTAGAACTCCACAAGTCGAATCATTGTGCACACTTCTTGTGACTACACAAATTGAATCAATTCATACCAAGTATTTCATTATTATAATCTTTAATATTTGTGAAATGAACTGTGTTAGCTTGATCATATTCAATTGTATAATTTTCATATTTGCATCAAACATTCCGCTCACAACTCATTTTTTAAAACACTCTAGCTTTGGAAAATGATGGTTACATTTTTTAATGTGGGCCTATTCGTCCCCTATAGACCATTTTTATACTTCCATATTCACATCGACAAATTTTAGACATAGATGTCGGAGTTACCATCTTCGTTTCTCCTGTTGCGGTTACATATCTGATTTTAGATCAAGATTGACATGAATATGAGAATTAGCAGGATTCAGATGTCAATTCCTATAGACGGAGCCACTGTTCTGAATAGGAACTAGAAATAGATGTAGTTCAAATATTGGAGATCTTGAACGATGGCTCTGATCTCTTTTACACTGGTGCAAGGTGGACCTCCACGGTTAGCATTCCAACACCCAAGTCAGCTCAAGATTTAAGATGAGTATAGTGAAAACTGGAGATCAGAGATTGTACCTTACTCTTAGCGTGTGAATTGATTTTATAATTTGGAACAAGTAGAATGGATTTGAGATGGATTGGGCCTTGATCGTTTGGGCTTTTGATTGGTCTAGAACACTAGGTAAGTCTTTAGGTTGTGAGGCTGGCGGCAAAATTGAAAGTCCAATTGGAGGCTCTAGAACAAATCCAGTGACTTGAGGAGCATGGAGTAGATCCTGTTGTAGAAGTGTTTCTACTATTGGGTTTGCAACACCTTACGAAGAAGGTGGATGCGGTTGATTGATCGTTGCTTGAGGGGTAGAAGAACAAGTAACTTTGGATCTAGCCATTACCAAGAGGCGTTGAAGTAAAAAATTTGGAAATTCAACAAATCAAAGATGATATGATACTTGATTTGATCGAATGCGATGAATCTTCGTGTTTAATTTCGAAAGCTTTTGATTTGATAAACTAGAAAGATTTCGAACTGATGAGTTGAATAACAAATGTTAGATCGTGGAAAATGCAAGAATCAGAATTCATTTCCCAGTGCTGATCATGAATCTTCTTGTGTAACTTGATTGCATCACATGCTTAAACCCATTATTTGGTGTTTTCTCATGACTATACATGGTTATTTAGGGTTGTGGTTGAATTTCTGAGTGAAATGTAGGTTGAAGGACCAAAAAGTGAGAAAATGGGAATTTTCTAGGCACGACTACGGGTCGTAACACCCACTATGGATGGTCGTAAATGGCCCTTGAAAATTGTATGGGGGAAGTACCTGGGTTGGACTACGGGTCGTAACAACTGCTACAAACGGCCATAGCCCATCCCCGACTTCTCATTTCCTTGTTTCCATTCTAAGTCAAATTCAAGAGATAATTGTGTATACTTCTACCATGCTAGTGTGCTCTTGTTATGCTTATAGATAATGTAGTGTTGTCAATTAGATTGGAATAACATGTGATTTATCTATGTTAAGCAATAATATTAGTTAACGAAAGAACTAAGTAAATTATGAAATGCTTAGTTGTTGACTTAAAGAGGAATAATTATAAATGTAAGGAACTCTAAGGTAGAGTTAGGGGTACATTAGTAAGGCTCCTTAGATAAGTTATATTCCAAGCTGGTAAGTGTCGATAGCGTTGATTTCGAAAGGAATCAAGTGTAACATGTATAATGAACGTTGAGACTCTTAGAACAAATCATGAATGAGTTTCCTTTTAAGATGATAACCCATCTAAAATTGGTAGGTCGTACCCTAAAACCAACATTAGTGGGAAGAATTAGTAGTTCGTCCCTGTTTCCTTAAAACTAGACTACAAAATAAAAATTATTAGTTGGCAACGAACGCTCATGACGCTAACCGTCTCCTGAATTCTACATGGCTTATGGAATAAGTGTATCAACATTCATATATCATATAATGCTAGATAACCTCGTCTCCTCATTATTTTAGTTACCTAATACGCGAGCGTAATTCTAATAGAATTTGATTAGTACTAAAAACCTATTGACCGGGTGGATTTATAGTTTTAATAGAGGCTTCATTGAAGTAGTAACATCTCACCCTATTGACCGGGTGGATTTATAGTTTTAATAGAGGCTTCATTGAAGTAGTAACATCTCACCCTATATTGTTATTATAATGTATAAATAATAAAATTATTTATATTTATTTAAATACCTAAAATATATTAATAGTTTGTACTTTGTAGTCTAACCTTTTTAATGGAATAAAAACTTCTAAAAAAAGTTAAGACATTTTTCATTTTAAAAAATTAGTCTAACCTAGACTAAACCATATGATCTTGTTAACTTATTCTCACCCTTAATTGCACATAGATGTCTAATTAAAATATATTTAATATTTTTTACTAAAAAGTATATATATTTAATATTAATTAAAATATATTAATTATTAATATTTCAAACTATAATAAAATTAAATATAAAACATAAAATATTAATATGTTATGAATTCATTAAAATTTAAGTAAGATAATGTTGTTTAATAGAATCTACCAAATAACTATTGAATGATAGTACAATGGTGATCTTAGAAATTGGATGGATAAGTGAATGCGAAAAACACCAAATTATTACAAGTTGGGGATATAATTTGCGAAAAGAAACCTTAAATGACCAAAATTATACAATTATTATCATATATAGTATGAAGTACCGAAAGTGAATAATAAAAGTTCCATTTTCCCATTTTCTCTAATCTCATATTCCTTTTGTAGCTATTTCACTATCAAATTCATCAAAATTGATTAACTAAGGTACTAAACATGTTTTTTTAAAGGAGGATGAGGATGATAGTAGTGGTCCCATTATACAAAAGAAATATGCACACATTGTCGCATAAGCTCTTTGTGCTACATGATTCAGAGGTTTCTTTGATTGGCTAATAGATATCTAAGGCTATTATGAAGATTGAACATATAATCTAGTAAGGATTGAGATAAACGTAGACATCGATACAGAATACCGTTAGTAATCTAAGAACTTATAAAATCCCAGCCCTGCATACTCATAACCATTTTAAAATGCTTGTTTACATGAAAATGGTCATTTTAAAATGCTCATTAAACTGCCTAGATCACAACATATGAGGAAAAAGCAAAAACAGAATATAAAACACTCAATATATAGGTGACAATGCAGTAATGGCTTTACAATAAGCAATATTTACAAACAAAATAGAGAAAAAAATCAGAACACAAGGAACCAACCAGGAAGGTCTGCCCAGCAATTCGATATCAGCAGCATCTTGAAAACAGCAAAATTTTCCTTTCATTTATGTATGAAATCAGAGTGAAGTAAGAGTTATATGAGGCAGGGAATCACCTCTCAGGAGAGTGAAAGCACCAGTTTCAGATGGAGAAGGGGTTTCGCATATAATTTTCAAATAAAAGGAAAATCTACATCTGATAGGTCCCAATTATCCTCTTCATCATCATCATCAACCTTTTCCTGATTTGAAGAATCAGATTCATCCGTTATTCGAGTTCTAACATTTCTCCTGAAATCCATGAGAGAAAATTAATAACGGACCATGCTTGCCACCAAGAAATACACAACAATTTTCTATTAACACAAAATATCAGTTTCATCCCTAAAAACAATTTGCAGATTTAAAATTAAACCCACTTACACTCTAGATACCAAGATACCAAGTATCTTAAAAAAATATTTGAACACAAGTTTGATAACAAAAATCACGACGACAATGTAATTGTAATAGTTAACGCATTTCAAAATTGGTTAATTTTGTTCTAAAAGCTTGATTATATTAGATATAAGAAAATGCGGTTCATGATTCAAATATGTGATTAATTTTAACCACAACTTGTTTAAAATCGTGAAGGTGATTAATGAGTTGCGGCATCCATTCAAATTGTTGTCAAAATTTGTAAGTAGAATAATATTTTCCATAAAAAAACATAAATCATCACACAAAGATAAAAATCACAAAATACAACTACATTTAAAAAATAATTCAAAATTCAAAAGAACAGTAATAGTATTAGCATAAACAAAATCATCCACAAATAACACTAATACAAGTTTTCTGCAACTATCGATACATTGAGAATCTGGAAAGAATGTACATACCATCTACGTTTTCTCATAGCAGCTTGTCGGCGTTTCCTTTTGATCTTATCAATTGGAGTCTCGAAGAATCTTCTGCGTCTGCACTCCTGAAAAACTCCCACCCTAAAAACCTCTCTCCTGAAACGAGTGATGAACTCATCTCCGGGATCGTCTTCGTCGACTACGATTTCTACGTTGTGGGGACGCGATTTGGCAAAAAATAATGTGGTTGAAATTGAATGAGAGAGTTTAGGGTACGCGATGGGTAAAAATGAAACGCGATGAATATTATTGTTATTATCGCGTCTGGTTGAAGATGAAGATGGTGGCAGTGAGAGTGAGAGTGGGGATGTCGTAGGGAGAAGAGACGAAACGGCCATTTTGCGGTTTGTAGTATGCCCTGATTGATTGATCTGTGTGGGACTGGGAGGGAATGTTATGCGGTAGGGTCGGTGTCTTTTTCTCTGTGATTCTGTACTGCTTCTCGGTTGTGGGCCTTCATTGGGCTTCTACTAATGCAAGTTTCATTAAATTTTGGAGGAATCTTCTGCCGCCCTTGAATTCTACTTAGCATCCCACACCCATAAGTTTTAATCATGATACTCTTTGTAATTTTTTTTGTTTTTGAAAAATTGTGTGTTATAAAAACATATATATAGTTTTTATCAATTTTTTGAAAAATTTAACCATTTTTTGGGAATTTATAAATTTTTATCGGGTTTTTAGAAAATTATCGGATTTGAACTATCTGATTTTTTAAAATCCTATGAATTTTAATCAAATTTTACAAAAGAGTATGAATTTTTAAAGATTTTTTAAAAATGCTATGAGTTTTTACCAAAATTTTCAAAAAAGTATAACTTTTTACAAGATTTTTCAAAAAATCTATGAGTTTTTACCGGATTTTTCAAAATACACTACCAGATTTTTCAAAAAACTATGAATTTTTGCCGAAAATCGAAATTTTCAAAATACACTATATACTTTTTCAAAACACTACCAATTTTTTAAATAAAAAACTATAAGTTTTTATCAGATTTTTCATATACATTTCCTGAATTTAAAAAAAAAACGCATTAGATTTTTCAAAAAACTATGAATTTTTACCGGATTTTTCAAGATACATATACGATTTTTCAAAAAAAAAAAAAACTATGACAAGAATTTTCGAAAAACTATGAATTTTTACCGAATTTTTCAAAATACGTATACGATTTTTTTTTAAAAGTTTTTATTGGATTTTCCAAATACACTATCTGATTTTAAAAAAAACTATGACCAGATTTTCCATAAAACTATGAATTTTTACTGGATTTTTTTTTAAAAACTATAAATTTTTATTAGATTTTTCAAATACACTACCTGATTTTTAAAAAACTATAAGTTTTTATTGGATTTTTCGAGAAATTTGATATTGTACTAGATGTTTCAAAAAATTCGATAGTGTTAATTTCGATTTTTTGCCTATCAAAATTAACTACCGAATTTTTAAAAAATAGAAAATTACAAAACATACCAGATTTTTTGAATTGTACTACCGGATTTTTGTTTGCTCTTTTTAGTTAAATTTTGACAAGGGTATTTTTGCCATAATGAAAAGATGCGGGAGTGTCAGGTTTAATTTGGAAAGTGGCAAGAATATTCCTCTAAATTTTGGCAACTTTTTTCCCACTCTTGAACCTTCTAAAACTTAAAATGTCCTTAAAGTTCGGAAATGCATCTTCGGGCGCACTGTTTTCACCCAAAATCAGTGCAATTGATTGAGCTTTTCTCACTTTGCCAAAATTTAATTTAGAGATGCATCTTCGTATGTGTTTTTAGGGTTTGTTCCCAACTACATTTCTGAATTGACACATTTTTTTTCAAATTCATTAGTTTTTTCGGAGATGCATCTCTGAACGCGTTTAATTCGTATATAACGCGCAGATTGACCTTCCCTCTCCTCCTTCTTCGTTTTACATTCTTTTGAGATACCCCAATTGGAACTCGTGAGCAACATTCTTCCAGTCAACTTTACAAGGAACAATAGTGTATTTACTTCAATAATACCAATCACAACTCACTCTACTTATTACATTCAACATTTTTTTTATCCTTATCCATTTTTTTAGTAAGTTTCTCAATTAACCTTTTTTTAGTAATGTATTAGGTAAAATAGTTAGTTTTAAATGCATTGGGTAGTAGTGCAATTCGAAATAGGCAGTTGTTAGAGATATGCACTATGATTTGGTTGCATTGGTTGTTAGGGAAAGACGAGTATCCATTTCTACCATTGTTGCAAACACAGGTTTTTCAGAGATGCATCTCATAATTATATCATTGGTGGTTTTTGGATACCCATATCCGAAAATGTCCTAGATGAAAACTGATGTCTTTTTCTCGTTTTTTTAAAGGAAAAATGGCTGCAACACAACGACGACAAAATAAGACTCGTTCATGAAACTCACCATGCGTCCGTTCGATGTGAGAGGGCTAGACTTTAGAATGAGCGGGTCAGAGCTAGGCGAAGAACCGTCCTTAGGCCTCTTTACGCGGAAGCATCGACTTCTAGGAGTTGTCTGTCACAGGGGTCCTCATTCCAAGGGCACGTCTCCCCGACTCACGTACACCAGGAGGAAGCTCGTGTTGCACATGATGGTGCCCCTCTATTTGCATACCCATATCCAGAATAACCATCTGACACCTCCTTACTGATATACTATAGAAATCATCTTGATGAGCATGTTTGGGCCAGAGATGTGTATTTATTAATAGTTGTTATTTATATCTTTTAAACAAATTCCTTGGGATTGATATTTATTTTTTAACGGGAGTGCTAATGTTTGAAGTATTTTAACCACAACAATTTTTTTCCAACTTTGTCACCCTGAGGATGAATGGTTCCAAAGTGTCATCTGATACTTCGGGAGGAATATGATGTCCAAGTATCTGCCAAAGCGATGCATGTGTCAGTTTGAATACGTGCAAATTAATATGAGACCCCCTTCGAGTTTGCTTCTAACAACATCATCCGTAAATATTTTGATGACATACTGGAAGATTAAGAGAGTCGTCTAGTACCGAAAGAGTATCGAAGTATGTCAACCACATCTTTATGGTCATATGTAGACATATACATGACTTGGTTCTACAGTGTGTCACACTCTGTCATGACACCAGATGCTCATGGACATCCACCAATGTCTGCTCATGAGTAGATTCTGGAGAATAAGTAAGCCAAAGATGACCATGCCATTGATGTGTTGCCGATCTATCAAAATATCATGTGAATTACATATAAAGGCCTAAAATCTGAGCTGTTTGAGAGAGGTGGCGATGAAGTGGTTGCTCTAGCACATTCCATTCTTACTGAGACACGAAATGCCTTCGGTTACCGATGGAAGAGGAGGAGCCAGGGGTTAGGATTAGACATGCATAATAGGTTATGTTTTTATTTGTATTTTGAGATGTTTTAGTATTATTTTCCATACTTTGAGAACAATGTTTGTAATTTTATTGGATGTTTTTTAATTAATGTATTACCTTGTTCTATGATATTTATGTTTATTAATGTTAGAATCAAATTATGGTATTGTTAGTCAAATTAAAATGACTTGGATTTAAAAAAAATACAAATTTAAGACAATGTTTCTGCCCAATATGCATGCAGGTAAGTTTTCAGAGATGCATATCTGAAATAGGCGTTTTCGCAGATGTATCTTCGAATTAACCCCAGAAATATTCGCAGATGCATCTCCGGACCAATTTTTGGAAAAAAAAGGGGACGACTGCTTGATTTGTGAAAGATGAGGAGATTTAAGGTACGTCCGGAGATGCATCTCAGAAAATACCTGAGGGCAATTTTGAGTTTTCAGAGGTGTGAGCCACACCATAAGGGTGGGAAAAGAAATTCCTAATTTTTTTTGAAATACTCATCCTACCTCGTGGTTGCGCCCCACATCTCTGAAAACTAAAAAAAGTCCTTATTAATATCAAGAGATGCATCTCTGGACACACCTAAAATCACATCAGTCTTTGTATTTAAGCCAAATACCTCATTTTTTTGTCAAAATACTTTTCAAAGACGCATATCCATGTATTTTCAAGAGGGGATATGGAGACACATCTTTGTAAAATCACCTTATTCATTAAGCTTATTATTTAATAACTTATGCATCTCCTATACTCATTTATAGTGTTTTTATTCACTGAGCTGGTGTATTTAACAACTCAGGGACGATTTTGGTGATGCATATCCAGAAATGTCAAGCAGGAAATTGAATTAAACACCACCTTGCGTGTTCCTCTTTTTCATGATCAAAGTCTACTTCACACTCAACCCCTTTAAAAAATTATTCTATTCTCAAATAATTTTTCAACACCAAAACATCATTCTTGTATTTTATCACATCAGAGGGAGCAAAAAAAGTTGAAGTTTAAGGTAAAGTTCATTCATTTCTTCTCTCATTCCTTTCACTAATCTGTTTTTTAGCTGAAAAAAGAACGTTAAGTTCGGATATGCATATCCGGACTAAGGTTCATGTGTTTCAGAGATCCATCTCCGGATTTTCCTGATACTTTGAGTTTTTGATCAATTTTTTGTTATGATTGGTATTAGATATGGTGCATTTGGATATGTTTCCCAAAGCTATTGCATGGATGAATGTTAAACCAGATGAAAAAAAGAATGATGTTAAACCAGATGAAGTGAATAAAGATGTTAAATCGGGTGTTAAACTGGTTGTTGTCAAGGTAGATGTTCATGAATAATTTACAAATAAACAAAAGTTTATTGTTCATGAACATATGCTACAATAGGTTCGCATGGAAGACGAGAAATTGGGGTTACGCATTGTAATTAGAAGGTCTGGAAATTGTTCTAATAGAAGGCAAGCATTCGCAACAATGAGATGCAAAATAAGTGGTACGTACCAACCACCGATTCAAAAGTTAAAATGTGTTGACAACATATAGGGAAAATGTGAATGTCCATTAAAATTACGCGAATACCGTAAGGAGAATGAGATATGGAAGTTTAATCTAGTTTTTGGTATACATAATCATGCCTTATGTCACAAGCTAGCTAGTCATCCCATTGTATGTCGCCTTATTTCGGAGAAGTCAGACTAATTGGCGCTAGCTCTTAAGCATGCATGCAGTCGTCAATTGTATGTGCCAATTCATCTGGCAACACCTCTTATTTTTTAAATGGAGGTGCCAGACCAATTGGTGCTAGCTTTTAAGCAATGCATGTAGTCTCCAACTGGAAATATCTCTTATTTTTTTAAATGGAGACGTCAATTCATCTGAAAAACACCTCTTCGTTCCAATATTTGTTTAGTTTGAAATTGGGTTACTTTGGGAAATAGTTGAAAATTATGGTTATTATGGGAACAAAATT